CAGGGGGGCAAGGGGGGGTTAGGGGGTCTGCTGTGGGTGGGGGCAGGGTGGGGAAAGCTGCTGCAGATGAGTGGTGGCAGTGGTGCTGGGCGGGCGGATGGCTCCCTCCGAGCCCCGGTGCCATCACTCACTGCAGTCCATAGCAGTACTGACCCCTGCTTGCAGCCTCCCACCAGGAACAAACTCACGCTGTCCAGACATCAGAGCCCTGTCCCCTCGCCACCCCAGTGACAGGGCCAAGGGCACTGCCAGAGGCCAGCTGGTAGGGCCTGTCAGGCAAGGGAGCAAGGAGGGGGGTTATTCCCCCTCCCTCCCATGTCTGGCAGAGCAGACAGGAGCAAGCTTATCTGGCCGCTTGCCCCATACACAGAGCAGCAGTGGTGGTGGTTGGAATGGGCAGACCCCACTGTGATCCCCTGGGGACAGTGGGCCTAGAGGAGGGAATAACCCCTCTCCCTGCCTCCCATGCCTTGGGCCATGCTGGCCAGCATTTTGCTGCACCCCCAGCTCTGCTGCTGCAGCAGCAATGGGGGAGTGCCAGGCAGACCCCAAACCATGTCCATGCTGGTAGGACAGGGAGGGGGGAATTAAACCCCTCCCTGGCCAGTTCACCTCAGGTTACTGCTGGAGCTGGCCATGCCCTCCCCCTCCCCCTGTCCAGCTTCCTTGCAGATGAGGGCTGCTCTAGCGCCCCCCATCCCCTAGCCTGAGCAACTGCAGGCATGTGCCTGCATTTCCTCAGTCTGGACAGAATGTCTGTACACTTGCAAACTGACTCAATCTAGGCAGATTAGACTATCCTGAAAAGATTGAATCAATTCAGGCTCCAGCTATTTGAATGTCTGTCCCTTGCCTATGAGGGCCAGATCTGGCAAACAGAATTGGTCCATGTGCCCAAGCCAATGCTATCCAGCATGTTGCCCCAGCCCCATGCAAGCTGGATCAGGTCCACTGTCCTGGCCCTGTGCACACCAGATCAGGCCTGCCACTCCAGTTCTGCATGCTGACCCAATCTGGCACATGGTGCCATGTCATCTGGCCTGCAGGGCTTGGAAATTTGGTGGCAGGGCAGTAGTGGCTTTGTTAATTGCCACTGCTCCCCTCTTCTCAAATTTCTGGATCTGTGGGGAGCCCCATGGACCAGATGTTTTGGCTCCATAGGCCACGCCAGATCTGGCCTGTGGCCAGAGGTTGCACCACTGGGATGGAGGTTTGTTTTAAGTCTTGTTTTCCAGAAATCACAAGGTTTTAATTAGAAAAAAACAAAAAAAAGGCTTTGTCAACACTAGGAAGGATTTGCTGGTATTCCATTCCTAATGAAATCATAATATAGATTTATGATGTGATATCAAAGGGGTACTCAACTGCTGGCCTGAAGGCCAGATCCAGCCCATGGAATCATTAGGGCTGTGCAAAACAATGCGGGCGGGAGGCTGCCACTGCTGCCTAGCACCAGTGCTGGGAGCTGAGCCCAGTGAAGCAAGGCGGTGCACAGCCCCGGAGCTGTGTGCCTCCCTCTACTGGGCTCAGCACCCAGCAGCTCCCAGCCCCGTGGAGCTCATCCCAGTGGTGGGAGGTGGAGTGCAGTATTGGCTCTGCCCACCTCCCACCAGCAAGCTGAGCTCCATGGGGCTGGTGGAGTGGATCAGAGTGCAGCCTGGCAGTGGGAGGCAGGGAGAGCAATGGTTGTGCTCCCTGCTGAGCTGAGCCACATGAGGCTGCAGAGCTACTCAGAGCACAGCCCTGGCTCTCCCCTACCTCCCACCACCTGGCTGCTGCAAAACTCAAAATGTTTCGAAACATTTCAATTGGCCTTGTTTCATTTGGAAACTGTTTTGAAGCCCTTGATTTTGTTTCGATTTCACAGTTTAGAGCTCAAAATGAGTTGAAACAGCATTGAAATGGAACAGCCGGCGAAACTTTGCACAGCCCTAGGAATCGCGTCTTCTGGCCTGTCAGGTTCCCCCTGGGGGCAGAGATTTAGTGGCAGGGGAACTGTGGTAACTTTCGTTGCTGATCCCCATGCCAAATGTCTGGATCCGTGACGAGCCACATGAACTGGATGGTGTGTTCCTGAGCTCCGGGGACCAGGGCAGCGCAGGGCAGGGCCTGATTTGGGTGTGCAGAGTTGGGCTAGGGTCAATGGGAGCACCGCTCTGCGCAGTGGCCCTGCTGGTGGATCCAGCCCATGGCCTGGCCGTGCCACCCACCCTGCACACTGTGATAGCACATGCCAAGTGTCTAAACAGGATTACTTGTATAACCAAAGGCCTTGTTTTGCTCACAGACCTGTGGCTACACTAGGACTTTTACTGGTGTAGATATGTAAGTAAACCTTTTAACAAGGAGAACGTGTACTATTGTGCGGATGGCAAGGGCATAAAGTATTATAGAAGCCATGCGGGAACTGAACCGGCCTGTGAGCGCTCCGGGCCGTTAGAGTTAGGGAAGGTGGGGCGGTCTCCTGACAGGCGGTTGCAGCGATTTTCCCCCCGGCTGAGCTGGGAGCGGGGCCGCAACTGCAGGGGTTGGGCGGGGGGCACCGGAAGAAGCCGCCGTTTCCCGCCCCCGCACTTCTGAGGCAACCAGTGCGCTCCCCGGCGCTGCGACTCGGGTGGAAAACAGGGAAGAGGAAGCAGCGCGGGCGGGGCGGGGTCGCAGTTCCCGG